GCAGATTACAACCAACTGAATACCGCTCAGCCTTCCAAGTCTGTAGGAGAAACTACGGTGGCCTGCAAATTAAACCCAAATATTGCAGGTAAAGAAATTGTTGACAAGCGTAAGATATCTTTTTTACGCAGATGATCTATTGTTATATCTGTACATCTATTACATTTTAGTTATTTTAAAGTTTTTAGTTTTTTTTGCTGCATGTAAAAAAACAACTGACCATTCAATGTTATTTTTAGGCCAAACTGCTATTGGAGCAGAATGTATTAGTATTTTGGTGTGATTGTGCAACTAATTAGGCCTTTTTCTGTCTTATTTGGGACACATGGCGGGACACATACAGTGTGTTCACAGATAGATAACTACAGTATGTACTACCAACTTTTTACTACACATTTACTACACAAAGCAGATCAGATCATCAATGCAAAATCAATACTTATATACAGCACATAATAAATAAATCAAGAGATAACAGAGTAGTGAGCGCAAACGTTGTTTCCAAGAATATAGCGACAGCAGGGCAGTCCAGGATGGTGTAACATTACCTTAAAGGTGTGTACACTATCTGAGTGGATATGTTAGTTGGCTAAACTACAGTTTAATTCAAGTTACTTGTAGAGTAACAAGATAGGATGAGTGTGCAAGCAGCGTCCATACAAGTAAAAACATAAAGCAAATAACATCTAAAAAACGAGACAGAACAGGTTTGTGATTTGTTTTGCACACTGATGCCCACAATAACCTGAAAACTGTCTTCCAGTTGGACTACGTGGTGACGTGTGCCGTCTGCACGCGCTCAGACGCAGGAGATATCCACATCCACAAGAAGAAATGTCAGGTAGGAAAAACACACAGCTCTGCAGGAGCAGATCTCACTCTTTCATTACACCAGAACAGCTCTCCAATTAGCTCGATTCAGGCCTCACTTATCACAGCGGACGTTAATGAAGCTGCTGATCTTTATTCAGTCAGTCTGAGATGTTTTGTCTTCTCCTTCCCTCACAGGAAGTGTTTGCGTCTCCCAGCAAACACGCCATGGACAGCAAAGGAGAGGAGTCCAAGATGAGCTACCCGAACATCTTCTTCATGATCGACAACTTTGAAGAGGTAACTTCTGTCTGATCAGAGTACTCATTACTACAACTTACATTAACGCTACATGAGTCATATTGAAGCCTGTGGAATAAGTTTGCACCATTTACATAAACAAATGTCACTTCTTCTTCGCACAGTCATACATCAGGATGTGCAGATATCACACACACAGTGGTATAAAGTAAATATTTGTTGTTATGCTACTTTCTACTTCACTACATTTCAGAGGCAAATATTGAACTTTTACAGATTCAACACAAAATATAACTGTTCATCAACAATCAACTAGTAAATTATAGATTAAGCTACCCAGAGGTATATACCGTGATTAAAATGAGCTCCACATTTAGCAGCTACAAAATTAGTTTTGATGTTCCCACCAAACACAAAACAAATATTCGCCTCACATTACTCACGTGTGAAAATTTGCCCTTTAATCTGCCTTACAATGGTGGTACGAGCCCAAAATAAACAGTTTGCTGTAATTTAATGTCAATAAACAGACCAAAAAGATGCTGAAATAACATGACGGTGATTTATAAAAAGTCTGAATTCATCTGTGAGCAAGACGACAAGCAAACAACTTTTAAAATGTTTGTTTTCTGAATGGAGTTGATCAGAGCTATGCTAACTTAGTTCATAGTGAAGTAAAACTGATTGCTGGAATTAAGTAACAGACACATATTTTCCGTCCTATTTTTTACCAAGCAATCTCCTTTTCTGTTTTGTCTCTATAAATATGAAGTAGTATCATAAAGCCTCATAGTTCAGTATTTTAACTAAATTTCACGTGTTTGCGCCATGTGATCTACTCACATAAATAATTGTACTGAAGTTTAGAACAATAGATCCTTATCAACATCCTTTAAGTAAAAGATCTGAATCATTATTCCAATGCTGTTTTTTTCTGCTTGTAAATGTAAAGGAGCCCAGGGATGAAATTATTAAATGTGATTGGTGAGTAAATTTGTGAAGAAATGCTAGAAAAGGTCTTCCCCCTCACTAATGAAGCCACAACAGCAGCTGATGTGTCCTGATTGGACAGCGGAGCCGGTTGCTGCTGCCAGTTTAATGAAGTGTGACTTGATGCTTTTTCACTCCATTTAAAAACGAGCTCCTGCATTAACACCTTGTTTTATAGGTCGACCAGAGGGAAAAACACCAGATCAGACATTTCTCTCCTGGGAAGAAATCAATGAGTTGTTTTTTGGTCCTCAGAAGTGAGATAGAAGCAGCTTCTTTGTGCTCGACTAAACAACTCAATGCCAGCTGACACCGCCAACAGTCGCTCTGTTTCCTTTCTGAAGCCAAACGTCCTCGCAAACCGAGAAAGATGATGAGGGACTTTTGGAGCTTTAGGGTTGTTGGGTAAAATAAAAAAGGTCTTTGCAGTTAATATATTTGTATTATTTGTGTAGGTGTTCAGTGATATGACGGTGGGCGAAGGGGAGATGGTGTGTGTGGAGCTGGTGGCCAGCGATAAGAGCAACACCTTCCAGGGAGTCATCTTTCAGGGCTCGATCCGCTACGAGGCCCTCAAGAAGGTCTACGACAACCGGGTGAGAAGCTAAACGCTAACATGCTGATGTTTAGCAGGTATAATGTTTACCGTGTTCAACATGCTAATGTTAAATTATACATCTGTGTTTTTCTTTTAAAAAAAAACTATTTTTCATTAATGTATTTTTAACCCTCACGACCAACAGTTTTTACGTGGATCTTTGACAACGTCTCTGCTGTGTGTATGCTGTAGGTGAGTGTTGCTGCTAAGATGGCCCAGCGGATGTCTTTTGGCTTCTACAAGTACAACAACATGGAGTTTGTGAGGATGAAGGGTCCGCAGGGCAAAGGTCACGCGGAGATGGCCGTCAGCAGGGTGCCGACAGGTGACACCTCGCCCTGTGGCACCGAGGAGGACCAGGTGTCACCCATGCACGAGAGGGTGAGTAAAACAAACAAACACATATATAAACGCCACGTAACCTGGATGCAGCGGTGGAAAGTGCAGTTACTGCTTTTAGGTACAATTTTGAGGTAGTTGTACTTCCTCTCCACTTAATAACTTAAGTTACTACTTACCTTGTACATTCAGATTAATATTATTAGTTATAAGTAATATTATAGGTTAAGTTAAAACTTTATTGATTGGGAAATTCACAAGCTGTTCAGTAGTAAATAAAGTAATTAAAATAATAAAGATATGAATGCATCAATAATAATACAATAAAAAAATAAAAGTATATTATTCTGAAATGTGCTATATGAGTACTTTTACCTTTGGTCCCTATTTAACACTAATAATACTTTACACTTTAATATACACTTTATAAATGTTTACACTAATAGTTTTGTGTGTTTACTTAAATGTTGAGTACTTCTTCCACCACTCCTGGATATCACCAGCTATAATAAAACAAAGATATACACCACTAGATATAGAATGTAACATATGATTTAGCATGTCAACATGTAAGTTAACTTCATGTTATTATTTACATTAGCACATTGACAGCTAAGATGGTGATGACAACTATTAAACTTCCAGTAGAGCTGAAACTGACAGTTTCTCCCAAACAAATAATAACTAGAAAGTCGACGGTAAGCGGCTCCAATTTGGGTCCAGTTCTTGGTTGTTGAAATCTGTTAAAAACCTGAATTCATTAAGCATCTGACACTAATGAACCTAGAACCTGTTGTACAGATAATACTGTATCGTCTGCGTACATTTGAATGTGGCAGATCATCAGTGTATAAGATGAAGAGCAGAGGACCGAGAATACAGCCCTGGGGCACACCATTTAATGTCCTTTTAATGTCCATTTGCTTGGTTCTGCTGTAGCATGTCTGGTTTATAAAACACAAACTTCCTGGAAAACATTTCCCGGAGTTTGCAGGTAAACAGTTTTTATTATTCTAATATTAAAGTTCAAATCTGAGGTCGTATTTAAAGTAAAAAATCCAGTCTGGTGTTTTGACGCCTACAGACAACCTGAATCCACAAAGCAGGAACTCCACACTTCCCATTTGTCAGTTTAAAGGTTGAGTTTGTTTTCAAGGCTTCACTTCCTCTTGTGTGTCTGCGGCTTCCCGAGAAACAGAACAAAAAATACCCCAAAACCTTCAGCTCAGCAGCTCTGAGCCTCACTAAGCTCCATACAAACATATGAAATCAGGTCAGGATCAATAATAAATGCTGCTGGACTGCAATATGCATCATTTAAAAGTCTGTCCTCCAGATGTGTTTCACAGTCGTCTGACAGATTCTCAGAGGTCAGAATGAAATTAAAGTTTTTATCTTACACAAAGAAAAAAACAACTTCATATTTACCAAAACTGAGAATCAGCTGACGTAGATTTAGTGCTGTGAAACCAGCATGAGGACGAAGAGAAAGCTGATCATTTAACAACTTCTGGAGTAGAGCAACTACTTTGATAATGGATTCATCATTTAAAGGTTTTACATATGAGATTCTGAAGCATTTTATTGCCTTCTCTAAACAGTGTACAACGCAAGGTAATGTCAGCTTAGGAATAACCACGTTGAGATGAGCCATCTTGATTTTAAGATACACCAACAGAAACAGAGAAACAGCATACAAATAAACCAGATATTACAAAAATAAACTAAACATAAAGAGACAAAACAACAAAAACTGTAAATATGAAGACGAGATCAGTTTAAAACAGATCGTTCATTCACAGCGTTAATGTCAGTGAACACATTCAGTAAATAGTTCCAACACATGATTATGAAATGAGGAAGTTATGAAGGTTGTTGTTGTTATGGACAGAACAAAGGAACCATAAATTATTAGTTGTGTTTTTGGTGCAGGTATTTAAACAACTAAGAACTGGATCCAGAGTGGAGCCGCTCAGACAGTATAAAGTTACATAAAATGGAGATAGTGGAGTAAATGTGCTCAGTTCAGTGCTGTGGTCAGTGTATAAAATAAACCCTAATGTGTGTGAACTGTCTGTCGCCGTCTTCCTCCAGGTGACGTCCTTCAGCACACCTCCGACCCCAGAGAGGAACCGTCCTTCCTTCTTCTCTCCATCTCTGAGACGCAAAGTTCCCAGAAACAGGATCGCAGAGATGAAGAAGTCTCACTCTGCCAACGACAGCGAGGAGTTCTTCAGGGAGGAGGAAGACGAAGGTACGAACTGGAACACGAACCGGTCGGACTGGTTTACCTGCTGGTGTTTATCTGTCTCTATTTTTAGCACCGAAACTTGATAATTCTTCTGATAATTTTTGATCCTGTATTGACAGTCAGA